GTTTAGGAGTTTGGGGTTTAAGGGTTTAGGATAGGGTTTCCCAGAGAGCCCAATACCCCTTAAATAAGGAAGATACCCTAAAACCATAATATTACGGCCCCTATAAATTTAAGGTCTATTCCTTTTTTAAGGGGTGTTGGGCTCTCTGGGTTAGGGGCTTGTAGCTGCCGGCTGAAGACGCTCTGACAAGGCCACCGACGTTTGCCTGACCTTCCACAACGGTCTGGCCACTTGGCTCAGAAAAGCCCTAAACCCTAAACCCTAAATCCTAAACCCTGAGCCTAAACCCTAAAATCCTAAAACCCTAAAACCTTAAACCTAAACCCCAAACCCTAAACCCTAAACCGCGTACTTTGACGTTGTTGCTGGGCTTTCAACCCTCAGAAACCCTGGGGTCGCATGAGGATTCTATGGTTTTTGCTGCTTGAGTTAAGGGGCTTGAAGGTTTAGGGTTCAGGGTTTAATTAGGGTTTAGGGTTGAGGGTTTGGGGATTGTGGGGGAAGGTGGCTAGAGGTCGCGAAAGATGAGCAAGACAAGGCTTTAAACCAACGGAACTTTCTGTTGGGTTTTCGCTAAGGGCTGCAGTAGTTGCACTGTTTGTCCATGAAGCCGAGACTTGCAACCTTAGAAACCCTAGACCCTAAACCCAAACCCTAAACTGTAAACCATAGACCCCTAAACCCCCAAACCCTAAACCCCAAACCCTAAACCCTAAACCCTAAACCCTAAACCCCTAAACGATAGAAATTTCTTCCGGCCCTTCGAGAAGCTGCAGCCAAAGCTCTGCCTGAAGGATGCGGAGACTTAGTTAGGATAGGGTTTTGGGGTATATTATGCCGTAACTCTATTTAGGAACCCGAAAAAATAGTATTTGTAATTATTGAGCCCCCTTACAGTAACAAGTTGTGGGTAAGTTAATTACAGCTATGATTAGTTGTCACTTCAACTACTCCCGGGGCATGAAGGGTTGGAGGAGGCATTGGGGGTATATTGCGGTCTACTTTGATACAGAGAACTACGGGAGAATATGACAGCTGTGGAAGCTTCTTTTTTCAAGACCCCTACCCAGACCACCGAAGGGTACTTTATACGAACCCCCTTAGGGGGATCTACTTTTCGGGATCCTCCTCGGGTCTGGGTATGTCTTGGGTTTACTTCCGCTTCCGACGCTAGGGATCCCAGTGGCCAGGACTTCAGCATGTTGCCGAGCGTGGTGGTCAGCTACGACGGGCCTCCCGTCACGAAGCACGCGTTCTTAGTAGCGTAGGAAGCTGTGAAGAAGTCCATTTTTCGGGGAGATCAGAACCCTCAGGGAATTCGGGAGATTTCGGGAGTTGCGTTTCCCCAAAGTTCTCCTGAAAGCCTAAACCCCCACCCCCAATCCTAGATCCGATCCGAAGCCCCAGTCTTCTCAGATCCAACATCCTAGTCCAATTCTTTCAGAACCTGTAGGGGCCACGTTTAATATAGGCGCCTAAGTAGTTACCAATACTATTGTGGGGGTTCCTTGTTATAAATATAGTACAATATACCCCAAAACCCTATTCTAATTATTAAGACCCCTATGTTACTTCGTTTCGAAGGCTTGGAAGGTTGAGGCGGCAAGGCTCCAGGTTCATGTCCGCGCATCACTAGTTCAGTGCTATTATAGGATCGTTTAGGAAGGTTTAGGGTTTTAGGGTTTTGGTTTAGGTTTAGGGTTTAGGGTTTAGGGTTTAGGGTTTGGGGTTCGCAAACCTTGTGCCCTTTGTTTGGTGTCTCCCCTGGAGACAGGGTTAAGATCGAGGAGAAGCATGCGAGATGCAGGAAAGAATATTATAGCAGACGGAAAATTTAGTAATACGATGCCCTACCCTGATAGTAAAATCATGAAGGCTTCATCATTGAGGCCGAAAAATTCTTCTTGCCACAGGACGGAGACCCCACCTATCCCTGCGCGTGACCGCTTATGTGTTACAGCCTCATTGCTGCTTCAGGGTTTTTAGGGTTTAGGGTTTTAGTACCCCATAGAGCCCGGCAGAACTCTCTAAAGCCTTACGATGGACAACCGTATGAAACCACACAACAACACGTCCACAATTACAACCAAAAGCCGTAAAACTGCCCTAGATCCTGACTCAGTCGGATACACTAGCTCTGCAGACTCATTGTCATAGACTGTCCCTGACAGCCTTTCGCATAAATCCCTCAACACTGACTGCCGAAACCCCCAAGCTCGTATAAGTCTTGAACCCAGAGAGTCCAATACCCCTTAACTTTTAACTTAAACAAGTAATATACCTTAAACTATAGGGCCCTTAATATTATGATTTAAGGTACATTCCTTAATTCAGGGGTATTGGGCTCTCCGGGAACCTGAACCCTGGAACACTCCCTAAACCCTAAACCCCCAAAACCCCTAAACCCCTAAACCCCTAAACCCCTAAACCCTAAACGCTAAACCTCTAAACCCTAAACCCTAAACCCCTCAACTCCGTAAACCCCTAAACCCCTCAACCCCGTAAACCCCTAAACCCGTAAACCCCTTAAGCCCTAAACCCCTAAACCCCTAAACCCTAACCCCTAACCCCTAAACCCTGAATCCCTAAACCCTAAACTCCCACACCCCTAAACCACTAAACCCCTAAACCCCTAAACCCTAAACCCTAAACCCCTAAACCCTAAACCCTAAAACCCCAAAGGTCCCCCTAATCCTAGCTCCCAGGAAGGTTGGGATGAGACGGTCCCCAA